CGGGCCGTTGCCATGGAAACCTCTTCCCTTCCCTCTCGGTCTCACAGCATCCTGGCGCCGCTTCTGCAGCTGCGGGGGCCAGAGCCAAATGGAGAGACGGCTACCAGGCTAGGCTCTGTTTCCTACCGCTACCTCCTCCGTCACCGCCCAGGGTAGAGCTGTAGCCTCCGGAGGACCGAATTGAAAAAGTACCTGCTGAAAACCACAGAAGGTCCGGCTTGGGGGAGAGGAGCTGGGAGGGGTCACTTTTTGCTCCCCCCTCCCATCTTTTTCTCCCACCAACCCCATTCCAGAATTCCCATGGGCTGCCAATCTGCTACCAAAGCTTAAGGGCTGAACAAACTGGAGCTGGGTTCCTAGATCCACCTCCCTAAATGCAGCCAAAATTGAGAAGGAAGCAGGAGGAGTGGGTTTAAGCTGGGACAATCACCACGTGGATCTTCCTGCCCCTCCCCCATCACCAGGATACACTGCTTCTAGAGGTGCCCTCGGCTGCAGCGATGAAATCCTAGCAAACGATCACATTAACAGATGAAAGAGACCTCAGAAGAAACATAGATCCCCTTCCTCATTTTACGGATGAGGGAAACGAGGCCCATAAACGTGAAGTGACTTGTCCAAGGTCACAACAAAATTGTAATCATCTAAAGCGGGATTTCGATCCTTACACTCCAGTCTTCCAGGAGGGAGAATGAAATAATACTGAATAACTGAATTTAACACAAAAAGCAGCCCACAACTTTTGGCAGAAGGAGAGGAGTGGCTCAAAGGACAGTCTAGAGCTATACCTCAGTCCAAATTATAAGTTGTTAAAAGGAGTCATGGTATAATAGAAAAGTCATGGAAATGGGAACCCAGGGGACCTGAGTTCGAGTCCTGGCTGTTATTTGTGACCTTGGACAAGTCACTTAACCTTGTTTTCTTTCTCCTAGACCCAGCTGTGTGTCCGTGGACAAGTCACTTCCCTTTTCTGGGATTTAGCTTCATCTTCCACACAGAGAAAGACTACCTCTTGGGTTACTCTTGGACCAAAAATGTATTCTTCCTTCCGGTGGCTTGTGGTCACGGTGTAGGGAGCAGCAGATTTTTTTTAAAAAAATTATTAATGAATTTTTTACACCTCAGTCATGTTTCAATAACCTCTCCAACACCCACCTCCTAACAACAATGCACCGAAACAACAGTTTAGCAAGTTAAAAAAAAAAAAACGAAGCCAATAACACTATAATTTCATCAATTTTGAGCCTCAGATCATTTGACATGGCTCCTGGGAAACATTTCCATTCGGATGGATTCTCAGTTTTCTAGGGCGGATGCTGGGGCTTGCTGCCCTTACTGAAGAGGCTTTAAAAGATCTTCCTTAGCGATGGGAGTGGGAAGCCAGGACGAAGAGGAATTGAGGCAATAACCAGAACGCAAGGACGTCTCCGAGTTCCCTTCCTTCACCTTTTTCGGGTACTAACAGATGAAGTTCGAACTTAGCAGTGAGACAGTGATAATAAACTCCTGTTCCAAGTATCTGTTCTAACTAAGGCTAATAGCTATTGAAAGAGATCACCCCACCGGCCCCTTACGCCCTGCACGGCCGCGGCCACGGCCACCGCCACCGCCACCGCCACAGCCACAGCCACACACACATCTTGCGCGCGCGCGCACACACACCCAGCTGGCGAGCCCGGCCTCCCTGCCCAGCCCCGCCAGGCTGAAAGGAAGGTTTTTCACCCTGGATACGATTTCCAGTTTGATCCATTTCGTGGAGCCGCTCCTTGCGCAATGACTCAGAAGCGGCCCTCATAGGGCAGAGGAGGGGGTTCGCCTCACCGGAAGCGCGGTCAGGGACACAGTCTTCTTTCTCAGGAAGGGGGAACGGCTTGGGGAAGGAGATGTAGCGGATTTGTGAGGGGCGGAGGGAGAGGCGAGATAGCGTCAAGCCATTTCTGAAAGGTTCCGAAGCTGCGTGAGAAAGATCCCTGGCAGAGAGCCAGGAGGCTTGGGCTCGACCCCAGCTCCGCTGCTCATTAACCGGGTGACTATCCCTTCCCCTGGTCTCAGTTTCCTAGAATCGAATGGGAATAATAATCCCTGCCTTGCTTCCTCCACCAGGGAGGATTTGAGGCAGACACGGTAAAAACAAGTACTATTCATAGGTGAGGTATTAAACTGAAAACAGATGGACGGCCCGGGTGTTACATTTGCTCCCTGGAAACATTTAAAAGGACTAGAGAAAGGCCTCCAGTCCACTGGATTTATGGAGGAATGGTGAAAAGACATGGACGAGAATAATATAAGATAGAAAGGTATGAGCAGTCGGAGAGGAGCTGCGATCTGCATAGGTGGAGGGGTTGCAGACCCATAAGACCACGGATCTACTGAGGGTATTCTGAGAGCGGAGTCTAGCCCTTATCCCGAGATAAAGCAATTTCTTTTAGAAACTAACCTCGCAAAATGCAACTGGCTATCATTGTCAGCAGAAGTGAGACGGAAAAGCCAAAAATGGTTTTGAAAAATTTCCCCCAAAAGAGAAATGAACTATACAGATAGCATTCTGCTTCCGATTTTCTAGTGAAAATCTTTGGAGGTGAAGTACTGGTCTCACTCTCCTGGAAGGTCTAAGCTGTGCTCCACCCGCATCACCACTGCAGCCCAGGCACTAAGCAGTAAGGCCCTGAGCAGAGACTTTTGTAAACTGCTGCCCCCCCCAACTTTTCTAGACCCCAGGTCATTTTTCCACAGTCAGATTTCTTGCTGTCATATTCCTGACCTGAAAAGGAACAAGTTAGAGAAACAAGTTCTCGACCCTGCCCCCACCTGCCCTCAGACTGTGGAGCTTCCCATTCCTAGTTGGAGAAGAGGCACAAAGTCCTTCCCCTAGGGTGCTGGGTTTGTCCTCTAAAAGTTGACCTCTTTGTTTAAGAAGGGGAATGTTGAGGTGAAGCTATAGATTGGGAAAGGATTGGTACGGGTGTAAGGAGTGGAGAGAAAAGGAAGGGATTTGCTTCACCTCTTCAGGCCTCAACAGATGGTCCCTAGGGTGAAGTCCAATTCTGACATTCAGTTATCTTTCTTCTTAGGACAACAATGTTCCCTTCTAGTCCTGAAGTTCTGTTGTATCTTCTTAGGAGGCATTCTTTCCCTCTTCCCCGTCTGATGGGGAGGGGAGGGCAGGGAGAGAGAGATATCATTCGAGATGGCAATGGTTAGAGTCTGAGCAGACAACTACACAGGAAAGGGTGAGGGAGGGAAGGAGGGCAACTTTGTTCATCAGCCTGGTTTCAGGGAATTGTTCTTCCCCATTCCCCCCAGCCTCCGAATCAGCTTTTCCAGTCAGTCAGCATGGGCAGTCTGGTTCCACACAGAATCCTTGAAATTCTTTCAGACTTAAATAGGATCATAGAACCAGAGCAGAAAGGGACTTCAGAAGCTATCTAGCCCAACCCCCTCATTTCACAGATAAGGAAACTGAAGGGCCCAGGAAGGAGAAATGACTTGTCTAACACCACACAGGCAGTATTCAGTAGACATGAGATTTAAATCCAGGTGCTCTGACTCCACTGCTCTGACTCCTCTCTGCTTATTCTGTTTCTCTCCAGTTACAGCAGTAGGGCAGACAAAATAAGCCTCTTCCCTGTTCCAAAGCATATAGGGATCAACCTGTTATTCCACTACCTTCCCACAAGTGCCTATTGCTAAGCAGGTTTTGGTCTTAGCACAGAAGACTTTCAGAGAATGGTTCTAAGTCTCCCCACCTAGCCTTGAGAGGCAGCATGGTGTAGTGCATAGAGCACTGGATTTGTCCACACTTGCTGTGTGGCTCTGGGCAAGTCATTTAACCTCTTTGTGCTTCAGGTTCTTTATCTGTAAAATGGAAGAGGGTGTAAGTCTTTTAAGTCCCTTCCAGCTCTAAATCTATGATTCTACCGTCCTCGAATTTGGTCCCTTTTCTGGCCCAGTCAGCAACTATAGTTGCAATGGAACCAAAGCCAATATTACTAGATAGTTCACACACACACACACACACACACACACCCCGGGATAGCTCCCTAGAAGCCATCTTTTACTTAAATGAAAGAAAGTACCAAAAGAAAGTCCATCCCCTTCCTCACACAACCCCATCAGACTTGCGTGTTCTATTTGGTCCCAAACTGGAAACCTCAGAGTTTCTTCTTACTTAATATCCCCAAGACCCTATACCCTTCCTTCTCACTCTTTCTCTGGGTAAGGGTTAACAAATATGTGGCCCTAGTACCCCGTGTTTTTTTTGGCCTGCTAGATGATGCCAAGTCCAACCTATTCCCCAAACAGCCATCTAGAGGCTTGTCCCTAGGGACACACCTCCAGGGAAAGCGACCCTTGATCAAAAAAGCCCAAAGTCAGGATCCCTGTTTAAGTCACATATCTTCCCCAGGTGGAATTGACAGAGATGGAAGGAAGGAGCTCTATCTGCACTGTTCTTCCTTTCCCATTCTGCCCCAGTGTCCGTTGGGCCAAGAGCTCTGATGAGGAAAGGGCCGGGGGTGGTCCGTGGGGCCTTGAGCAAGCTCCTTCCCTAGAAACTGGAGGGGGGGGGCGGTTGGCGCAGGGCGCCGAAGATACCTGCTTGAGTACAAGCAGGAGGTCTCAACCCTGAATTTTTCTCCTAGAGCTCCTGCGGGACTGCCTAAAAAACCAGACTACGCTCCGGGGGCCATCTCGTGGGGAAGGGCATATATCCTATCCCAGAGCCCTCAGTCAAGGGCCACTTCAGGTGGCAAGGCCGGCGATGCTGTTTCTATTGCCCCTTATTTCTCTCCAGTCCATATCTTCTCAGCCCTCCGAGCCTCATCCCTAGGGACCATCATTTATCACTTCGCTCACCTCCACCGAGGCCTCTCCAGAATTCCAGCTCCCTCCTCCCCCCGTGCCCACCCCTCCACCCTTGTCTCCCGAGCCCCCCACCCCGTCTCCGCCAGCCCTCGGGCCTCCCTCCCCCACCATCTCCCCATCTTCTTCCCGGCTCTCACCAGCGTCCTCTTCGTCGAAGGAGTTCATGCAGGGGAAGTAGATGGCGAGCGCCTCGAAGGAGGCGGACAGGCTGAGGCGGCTCTGAGAGCGCTCCATGTAGAGCCCAGGAGGACCGGCCCCGGGCGCCTCGGCCGCCGGCGGCTTGGCCAGCTTAGCCGCCCCATTTTTGACCCGGAGCACCGCGCGCGGCGTCTTGGCGGCTCGACTGAGGCTCCGAAGGAAGAAGGGAAGGAGCCGCTGGGGCTTGGGCTCGGGCTACTGAGCTGCGGGGCCCACACCCAAGGCGCTGCGCTGAACTCTGGGCTTAGGCAGCTGCACCTGGACTGCTGGCAGTGGATGGGATGGGATGGGACGGAGTGGGGCAGGGCCGGGCCGGGCTGGGCCGCGCCAAGGTGAGACGCGGGGAACCGAGAGACAGCCTGCTTTCCAGTCTGCGGCGCAGACCTGACTGGCGCTTCATTCCCCCAGCCCAGGGCGGGCTCTAGAGTGAAGTCATCGGCTCAGCCAATCAGAGCAGCCCGCGTAGGGAGGGGGCTCCCGAGGAGCTGGGGAGTTGGGGGGCTCGACGTTAAAGGGGAAGTGGGCTTGAGGCGGGCAGGGCCCCAAACTGGGGGCACCATTCTCCAGGGACGCTGGACAGCCCTCGACTAGCTTCGGAGTCAGAAGGGCAAAGCCAAGGAGCAGGTGTCAATGACAGCGGTGAGAATGGAGAGCGACAAGTGGGGCGGTACCGGTTAGAGAAGCAGAGGTCTTAGAGCTGGAAGGGGCCTTCAACATGGTCTAATTATAGGAGCAGAATATTTAGAATCAGAGGATCTTGTACTTTAAATCCAACCCTCGAATTTTCAGGGCGGGGGAATCGAAGCCCAGGGAGGGATTGGAACTTGCCCAAGGTCACACAAGTAATTAAGCAAAAGAGCCAGGGTTTGAGTTCAGGTCTTCTGACTCCAAATGCTCAGGACTTCTGACTGTCTTTCCCCATACATTATGCCTCCCAAAGTTCTACTATATTCCTTTCTTTCCTTTCTCCTTTGTCTCAGTGTTCCTACCTTTACTCATTCCCTGGCTGGGCATATAGGGAAGGGAATCAGTCATATTGGATCATATGATCTCAACTATCCTTAATCCCCCCCCTTTTGTATTTGCAACCCACTTTTAAAATATTATCCCCTTTGAGGGAGTATTATCCTGGATAGATTATGCCCTTTTCCCAAAAGAGGAACCTGATGAAGAGAGAGGATCAAGGAGTCTGCATGAAGAGGAGGGTTGCTCTGGCTCCCTTGGTGGGGGGGGGGGGGCGAGAAAAGCTGGATTCAAACTCAAATATTGGGAGTTTCTAGTTCCCTGTGTATGAAGTTTTACACAATCATCTTCTTACAACAGCCCAAGGAAATAAGTAAGGTTTGCATGTGGCCAGAGCAGGTCAGCTGGATTCTGCCAAAAAGTATGACACAAGCATGGCTTCCCTGGGAAGAATTAGGTTGATCAATGCTTGGTCTGGAAGAGTCAATCAGGAAGCATGAGCTACAGTTCAGCACAGTCACTACCTCATTGTGTGGCCTCATTCAAGATGGTTAAAATGCTGGGCTTGGAATCGACAACACCTGGGTACAAATCTTGCCTCAGACTCTTGCTAATGATGTGACCCTAGGCAAATCACCTAACCTCTCTGAGCCTCCATTCTTTATCTATAAAATGGGGCTAATATTAGCAGTCACTTCACGGGATTACTGTGAGGCTCAGATGAAATATCTTTATAAAGCATGTTGCATACCTTAAAGTGCTACATAAATGTTTGCTATTATCTTATTACAAGTTACTTTCCATCTCTTGGTCTCAATTTTTCCATCTGCAAAATGAGAAGGTTGAACTAGATGATCCCCAACATCTCTTCTATAGTTGACATTCTAGATCCTAAGGTCCCTTCCATTTCTATGCTGCAGTAGTGAAATCTTGTCTTCCTTGTAGGGCTGTCATAAAGAGAAAATATGTTTGTCAATGGAAAACCTCTTTGAAAATTTCCAAGCTCTGGGGCAGCTAGGTGTCGCAGTGGATAGGTCTCCAGTCTTAGAGTCAGAAGGACCTGAGTTCAAACTTGGCCTCAGACATTTGATAGTTACTAGCTGTGTGACCCTGGACAAGTCACTTAACCCCAATTGCCTCAAAAAAATATTTTTTCCAAGCCCTCTATGAATGGGGGGGGGAATTTAATTATTATGGGCCTAGGACCCATTTGTTGGGGTAGGGCAGAATCCCATTAACTGGAATGGGAGTTTGAGGAGGTTCCTCTCCTAGCCTCAGTCTCTCAATATCCCCGACTTTCTATTCTTAGTGAAGTAGGGGACTTTCTCAAACATGCAAAGATTAGGGGGAATTACCAAAACTATTCAACAGCTTTACTTAGGGTGGAGGTAGCCTTCAGATCCTCAACTCTTCCCTAAGGGTCTGTGGGAAGGAGTGTTTCAGAACTGTCCAAGGTATAGAGCCTTGATAAATCATTCCCTTGGACATCCCTGGAATCCACAAGATCAGATTCCCCAGGCCCAAGCTATGGGTACCATAGAGAAAAGAAGGATTAGAATTGCTTCCCTTAACCTTAAAAAGTATGGGAGTGGAAGGAGGAAGGCAAATTTTAGATAGTTATAAGGAAGAAATTCTTCATAATCAGAGCTGTCCTGATCAAATGGGCTGCCTTAAAAGGTAAGTTCTCTGAACACTGAAAGTGTTTAAGCAGAGGCTGGACGGTCACTTATTTGGATGTTGTAGAGGATGTTCTTGTTTAGGTAGGGCTTGGGCTAGATCAGTCAATCAATAAGCATTTATTAAACACTCACTACTATTAAGCACCCATGATATGCTTCCTGGAGAGGTACTTAGAAATTATCCATAGTGCTTTGCCTGAATGTCCTAAGAGGGGAGTCCATGGACAATGCCATTCTTGAACTCATATGCTAGGTGCTAAGGATACAAAGACAAAAAAACAGTCCTTGTCCCTTAGATGTTTACATTTTGTCAGAGAAAATGGTAAAACATGCACAGGAGTACCTCAAAGACATGGTGAGTTTGGTTCCAGATCAATGCAATGTAGTGAATACAGCAATAAAGCAAGTCACATGGATTTTTTGTTTTCTCAGTGCATATAAAAGTTATGTTTACACCACATTGTAGCTTATCAAGTATGCAATAGCATTAGGTCTAAAAACGTATAAACCTTAATTAAAAATACTTTATTGCTTAAAAAAAAATGCTAACCATCATCTGAGCCTTCAGCACGTCATAATCTTTTTGTTGGTAGACGGTCTTGCCTAGACGGTGATGGCTATTGACTGATCAGGATGGTGGTTGTTGTAGATTGGGGTGGCTGTGGCAATTTCTTAAAATAAGATAGCAATGAAGTTTGCCTCATCAAGTCTTCTTTTCACTTGAACACTTAGAAGCCATTGTGGACTTATTAATTAGCCTAATTTCAATGTTGTTATGTCTCAGGAAATTGGGAGGCCCAAGGAGGAGGAGAGAGATGGAGGGATGGCTGATTGGTGGAGTAGTCAGAACACAGAACATTAATCAATTAAATTTGAGGTCTTATATGGGTGTGGCTTGTAGCTCCCCAAAACAATTACAATAGCAACATTAAAGATTACTGATCACAGATCACCATAACAGATACAACAATAATTTAAAAATTTGAAATATTGCAAAAACTACCCAAACATGACAGAGAGACACTATGTGAGCACATGATGTTGGAAAATTGGCACCAATGGATTTGTTCGACCCAAGGTTGTTACAAACCTTTAATTTATAAAAAAAAAAAAGAAAAGTGCAATATGTGCAAAGCACAATAAAATAAAGTGCAAAAACGAGATATGCCTGTATAAGTAAATAAAAAATAAATAAAGTAACTTTTTGGTCAGGGACAAGGAAGGAGCAATAGCAGCTGAAGGGGTCAGAAAAAACCTCATGACAGGGATAGCCCTTGAGCAAACATTTTCATTTAAGGAAGATGGGGTTCAAAGATGCATAGGTAAGGAGTGCATTGCAGACATCAGAGCACAACCCATGCAAAGGTACAGATATGAGAAATGGAATGTTGCATAAGAAGGTAAGTACAGTTTGGTTGGACTGAAGATGCGTGGAAGGGATTAATGTATTGTCTGGAAATTGAGCTGAAGCCAGATTGTGAAGGTCTTCAAATGCCAAACAGAGGAATTTGTGTTTTTAATCCAAAGGCAATTGGGAGCCACCAGAACTTTTGAGCAGGGTGAAGGACAGGATCAGAACTCTCTTTTCAGAATATCACTTTGGCAGCTATGTGGAGGAAGGATTAGAGATAGGAGAGACTGGGGTCAGGGGGACCAACTATGAGGTCATTGCAATAATCCAGGTCAAGGGTGATGAGGGCCTAAACTAAGGTGATAGCTGTGTGAGTAAAGATAAGGGGACAGATGTAAGGGACTCTGTGGGGGTAGAATCAACAAGATTTGGCAACTGATTGTATAAGGATGAGTTGACAATGACTTCTAGGTTGCAACCTGGGTGATTGAAGGAAGAATGGAGGTGCCCTTAACAGAATTAGGGAAGACTGGGAGAAGGGTAGGTTTGGGTGCAGAAGGTAATGAATTTTGTTTTGAACTACTTTCGCCTTTGGGAACATGAGAAGTGGTCAGAAAAGCAGGAGAAGAATCATGAGAGAGCAATGTCATGAGAAGAGAAATTATCATAGCAGAGACGGTGGTCAATGGTGTAATATGCTACAAAGAAATCAATAAAACTGAGGACTAAGAAAGGTTATTAACCTTGTCAATTAAGAGATAACTGGTAATCCTGGAGATCGTAGTTTTGGTTGAGTAATGATGCTGGAAGACAGATTGCAAAGGGCTGAGAAATGAATTTGAGGAGAGGAAACTAAGGTCGTGAGTGTAGGTGACTTTTTTCTAGGAATTTGGCTGGGAAAGGGAAGAGAGACACAGCTTTGTCAAGATATTAGGAGATACCCTGTTTTCCAGAGCTAAGGCCAAGCAAGCAGGCCGTGTGCTGAGCTTAGCATAACAACAATCCTTTGCACTCATCCTCTAGATGATCTCACCCTGTGGCAA